CGATTCAACACTTTGCTGAAAAAAATAGCCGCGGCTATAATACAGTTCATATACTTGAATGTGTGGTTTCTGTATGATCGGGTTTGCCTAATGATTATTGTACATGTACTGTACAATAAGGATCATTGCAGTTTCTCAGTTCCTCATACTTGTAGGACAAACAGTATCATTGCCCTAGTACTGTCTAAAATACTATGTTTCTTACTGGAACAATTCGGTGATTGACAGTGTCCTTGAATGAGGAATACAGTTGTATAAGGAAGTTCATCCAAACAGACAAACACTGACTCTTCTACATATTTGCAGATCTGATTTGCACACTTCCTTGTCATTTTACCTGTTGTACTGGTTTGTCCCTATCTGGTTTTCTTGCTGAGAATAAGGCTGACCAGAATGGAGGGTGCTATAAACTTGAAAATGTCATAGAAATCACGTTTGCCAATTCATGTCCATGCCAAAAACTTATTAAATTATATGTTGCAAATTTCAAATGGCAACAAGCGAAGGCAGTGTAATTCATGACTTGTTTATTTCGAACAAATGTCACATTGGTAACCAACATAATCTGTCTGTCGTGGCCACCCAACAACACCGTCTCACATTGACTAGTTGATATCAAAAATTACAGGCACATATACAGACAATACAAACATGAAACACGAGAAACAAACTCGCAACTCTGTAAATACGCCTCGCAACTGTAAGCAGACGCGCTCTCAGTTCCACCTGGTAATGTCTCGAAAAAGACAGCTTGAAATAGCATGTATTGATGCTCCCTTACAATGACTAGTAGGGCACGCGCAATTCGAATCACCGTCCGACAACAGTGTGAAATATGATTACGCACACAAATAAGGCCTAGTATGATCATTGCCAGAACGAACTGTCAATTTAGTGTAAGTAATCGAAATAATAGGCACAAATAAGAACATATAAACATGAAAAACATCTCGCAGTGTTAATAGGGAAATTACAGGCACATATGCGAATATAGAAACATTTATGAAAATGAGAAAGGACAATATGAACAGCATATGCCCCATGCAAATCATGATTCAGAATTAGCCTACCCGGTTAAGATCATTCCTAAATAATCATTGATACTTTACATTACAGCACGTTTGTAGATGAATTACTTTATACAAGAGAAATGACTTACAGTGTCACTCACTGGCGACTCCTTTCCTTCCAAGCTTGCTGCCAGTACACTAGTTAAACATGCACTGAACAGAAACACTTTAACTACATTTGAAATAGCTCTTTCCATACTGACGTCGTGTTGGTGGATTCTTGACGATACCAAGCCTACAGTTTGTCTGCGATCGCTTCACGCACTTTATCCTATATGTTTGACAACTGTCCGTCACAGTCTGGTGGGAGATTACACTGTTCGGAGATTAACAAAACAACGTCGGAAATAAAATCTGTCAATGAGCACGCGTTGCAACACCTGACACATGGTGCTGTAAAACAATACTATAGAAATGTGAAACTGAGGTTAAATGTGATCAATATATTTAATTTTTAATATTATCTCGAACTTTTGACTTTCATTAAAGTACAACAAAGACACGATTCGTCTCGATTCCTTAGAAAGAAATGTGTTCCATTCTATTCTCAGCATTCAGGTCAGTATTTGTCAAAACAAACATTTTGCAAATATTTTGCACCAGATTATTAAATCAAGGTAAGGTAAGGTAAAAGATTTACTTCTCTGTAGTGTCTGAATATTGTATGGAACTAGCGCGCACACATGGTTATATTTTTAGCGATATAAAAAAAGGAAATGCAGTTGAAATAGATCAGATTAAACGTGGCGATTCACACTGAAACAGTTTTTCTGACACATTTCATTACAATCTGGTGACAGACTATGCTCTCAAACAATAAGGAATTAAAATCGGACGCGATGCAAGATCCGGCATATGTTGTTAGAAAAATGTTATGATAGCGACTTCACGATCGCAGATTCCAATCCCAAGCTGTTAGACTATTGTTTAGAATCAACAATTTGCATGTTTAGGGTGGAGATTATAAACATAAATAACATGAATTTGATAAATAGATTGTTTACTTATTGTATTTAGTAGTGGCAACTTTGCAAGGCTTTAACCACGAGACACATCCCTGGTAATCACGTGTCGTGCCAACGGCTGGCTGATCGCATGTTTACTCCACCATGCCTTAGTGTTTTGACTTTTAATATAGAGAGTTGGTAACATTTTGTAAAAGGAATAGAGAACGAGAGAATGGTGCAGCGAGGGTTACCTCGGCTGATTGATTGGGAGAATAAAGCTGGACTTATGTGTATTCATTTGGGTCGAATCTGGTATCTTTATGTGTAAGTAATATCCATAGTTCACCGGAGTCCTCCTTCTTCAACGCCCTCTTCATAACACGTGGTGGAGAATCCGGGCACTTTTTTCACTTGAACTAAGGAACAGTTCAAATTTGTCAGAGTGGGATTGTGTTATGATAGCGAGATCACGTTCGCACATTCCAATCCCACGCTGTTGGACTATTGTTTAGAATCAACAATTTGCATTTTTAGGGTGGAGATTATAAACATATATAGCATCCGCAGTTCCCTGGAGTCCCCCTTCTTCGACGCCCTCTCCATATCAAAACAGTCATGTGAATATTTTTTTCATTTTGAAATTCTGCAAAACAGACGTGCGTGCATTTCCGTTGGCATGATATGAACCACGAAACTAATACGCCCAGCAATGTGATGCTAAGAAATATGGAAAAGTTGAGTCAGTCAGTCAGTTGGAGTGAGTATATCCTGTTCAACATGTGCCCCCTGTCATATATTAGTCTGTGTCACAATAAATTGGTAATAAATCTGAGGCCCACACCAGACAGTGACATCGATGCCATCTGAGAACATCTAAGTAACCGTTATATTATATATAAACGCAAGCTTATTGTATCAATAAATTCCTCAAATGATAAGGTTCTTCGCTTTATATGAAACCTTTGTTTTATTAGTTTGAATAACAGACATTTACAATCTTTGGATCTTTGGAATTGCATACCTTATTTGCAGACGATGATATAGGTTATTGCTGTAAACATATTGAAAATTACAATAAAAAACAATGAACCATGGGCATGGTATGTTAATGGTAAATTTTAGAATTTCCAAATAATATTATTCATAATAATTTTGGCATAGTGATACCTATATTCAATACTGCTTTGGGGTTCACGCTAGTGAAACTTTCGCCATATTATCTGCAATTCTGTTTCTGTTTGAATATTTGTCATTTTCAGCGCAGTTAAATAAATTTCGTTATATTTCCTTGTTATTTAATAGTACTAAACTTATGCATTTATTTGTACAAATCAAGATTTTTTGACGGCTTCTACTCTGTTTGTCAAGTTTAGCTTGATATGTCATGACTCTAGATCTACTAAACAAACACCACAATAACAAAAGACCAGTCTTTAAAAAGAATTAACTCGGGTGAACCCGTGACCTTTTAGAAAATGGCCACGTTGCCACAATATTTCTTCAACTCAATCCACCAATTTCTGTTTGTTAATTTTTTTAATCCATATCTATTAATATTTGTTTTTATTTTGTTACTGGTATTTCATATTCCAGCAATTTTCATAAGTTTTTGTTTATAGTATTACACACTTTGGTTTTATTGATGCCATTTCACAGTTTCGATGGCTTTATTTTGTAACGGGTGCACCCAGGCTCTGGTAATATGTTGGAAATAAATTGTTTAAAAAGCTAAAACTTTTTCGCCGAATATTAGAGCTGAAATCTAAGATATGATTATGCAAATGTTTATTATATATATCATGGGGTTATACAATATATAAAGCCACTTTCGAAGAAATTGTGTTTCAGTTAGAAATTTAACATCGTAACTGAAAACTATAGTTTATTTCGTAGTATACGAAACGGGTATAAACACGTAAATTCCTGTTTTAGCATTGTAATTTTGCGCAAACTTTGTGGAGGATTTTTTTTTAAATTAACCTACCCGCATTTCTACAGGAAAAAGTCACATGGGAAAATTTCCAAATCGAAGAACACAAAACAAACAATTGATATCTGGACATCATGGTGAACAAAGTGATGTCAGGTTTTACGAAGAGTGAGCACATCTTGCTCCACGCGTGACACTCGTCGAACCACAATCGAATGGTTTCTGTAAGAACCAATAGGTCTACAGCAGGCTATTGACAGTGATGTCATATGAGATCTGAGATATATAATTGTTGACATCCTTTGCGCCAATGTGCAATTTTAAATATGGCATAATATCCCCACTATGAAAAACAATTTGTAAACGCGTTCTAATAATAGCAAAATGGACACCAGTCAATGACCATTTATTACAAATGGATCAATTTAATTATGAGTAGACTTTAAGTGTGCTCAGTGATGAGAACATTACATCTTTTAGAGGTGTGAAAATTTGTGTTTTTTAACTTAAATCAGTTGTCGTCAGTGTCGCCTTATGCCCATTATTATTACAAGACTCATTCCAAAATCAACATTAGCAAAACACAATTCAGGTATTCAGTACAAAAACATACAAGTGTAGTAATTGTAATGTGTAACCCATGTATATAGTGTAACGCGCATCTTTTTTACCCAATCGCATTGATTTTTCGCTGTAATATGCCCGAAAAGCGAGCACAAAGTTCAAGAAGAAATGACACTCTGGGACAATAACAGAATAGTTCAAATTAGCATAGTAAATAAACGTTCACCTTCTATAATATTGCATACACAGTAAATGAATTCTCAGCCC